AAGCACTTCTTCAATGCTTCTTTGCATATACCTTTTCACATTTTGCATGGTTATTTCCATTTTTTCCGCTACTTCCAGGAACTCAAAAACAAATACTGCAACAAAAATTTCGTTTAGGTCTTCGGTTGGTGTATCGCTGTCCGTTCGTGTCTGCACACAATCTTTATACTATTACTTCAGAACAACCTTTAGAGTTCTATGTTAAGAAATACATTCAAAGACGATTGAGCAGAATGCATTTGACTAATCTTGGATCCTTACTTTTCTATAATGATATTTTCGTTTGGGATGAATTTTACAAAAGAAAAAACGAGCACCTCGATCATTTTTTTCGTACGCGTCGTGTGCGGCAATTAATAGAACAACACGAATCATTCCTTGTAAAATTGTTGTTGTTTGTTGAAACGAATTAATTAAAAAACAAAAGAAAAGAGAGAGCACATGTAATGCTTTAATCCACCTTTTTTTCTTTTCTTTCTTTCTTTACTCTATCTGACCTTTCTTTCACTCTTTCACTCTTTTACTCTTTTTCTTTTTTTCTTCTCCTTCTTTGATCTCTTTTATTGACCCCTTTAATATCCATACAAGCGGAATCTAACATTCGTCATAATTATAGTGGTGGCAAATTGTGAAACGCTTTGCATTAATGATGTTGCTTCTGGCCTAAACGTCACAATCTCTTTTTCTACTATCATGTAAGCACTTCCGAGTGTTACATTCACAAGTATAATAAAAAAAATTTACTGCGTTCTGTAGCTATTGAAACGATTACGAGTTGTCTAAAGAGAGTTGGAATGTAATCGAATATTGAGGTACGTATTACGAAAACCTAAAAATGAATGAAATAGTATGATAAAGATTTTCGTATAGATATAGGAAGTGAAGACAAGTTTTATCTTATAATTGCATTTAGGAACTTTAGTCGTGTCATGTAAGAAACAGTTCTGATCTGAATTCGAACCAGAGATGAGCACAGGACAGGACGAGATTTTTGTTTTTGTCCTGTCCTGTCGCCCGCTAGGACCGAGATAGTTAGCAGGACAGGACAGGATAGGAGAGAAAATCTTATCCTGTGCTCATCTCTGATTCGAGCCAATATTCGAAATCAGAGTACACATTGTTTTCTTTGCTATTTCGATATGATATGCATTACTTGAATGAGGTTGCGGGTGTGTGTGGCTATGCGCTAACCGAAAGCGAACAGTCAAACTCAAACCAAGGAGGAAAAAGCGAGACTTCAACAATGCGTACTTCACTTGTACATCATCTTTTTTTGAAGTAGATGAAGTCTCGCTTCCTTCCCCTTGGTCTAGTAGCCCTCTGGGAAAAAACATGAAACAAGTCGTGAATGAATCGGTGTTGAGAGTGCTTCTGGAGTTCTCTATAGCCTCTAGAGGGAAAACAGTATTTCGCGATTTGTAAATTAACGGTAGAAGATAACCTAAATCTGATCTCACCATTGGATAGAGCAAGCCCAATTCTATGTGACACACAAATGAGAACATCTGGAAAGCTTCCTGAACGAACATGAGCACGCTGAAAAACTAAAGGAGCTTGCAAAACTTGTTAGGCCTCTAAAAGGTTCTGTGTTGAGGGTGTGGGTGTGTGGGGTGGATGTGCTTGTGGTAGGAACATGAGTTTTAATTGAAAACAAAGACTCACACACACCCACAGCTTCACTTGTTCAACAGGTGTTTAATTTTTTTGTCGGATATTATCGGCTATGTGGACGTAATGTCTATTAACCATCAATATCTCTGCGAATTTCCAGTAGGAGACATTTGATTTTGTCGATTGAGCAATCGAGAGAGTTTGTCACATTTGACAAATGACAAAACTGTGCCCCGAAGGATTTTGACAGATGATTGTTAAAAAAACGAGATCATATACTCAAATAATATTGAATGATCAACATTTTTCAAATTGGAACATAGCTCTTGATTAATTAAAGTCAATAAGATTCGATCGAATCGGAGATTATAAATCAATCTGAATGAATGATCGATATCTTCATCCATGTAAATGAACAATCGTTCTATTGACGATAAAACGTCCTTCATGTGTTCATTGGTTTATTCCGAGGCTTGTTCGAATGATCACTGTGGAGAAAACACAAGCAATAAAATAGGCTGTCTCATCAGAATCATCGATACAGAAATGAAGATAGGGAAGATATCGATCTCTTCTACTCACTGATCAATTATTGTTTTGACGGATGAAAATCATGTGACTAGAATCAACTGATTTTTTTGTGGAACTCAGGTATATTTTCGAAGAAAATAGCGAGCGTAAGTTTTAAATCGAGGTTTTGCGGCTCCCTCCATCCCTCCTCCTAGGCCCCCTCCATTACAGACCTTAGCAACCGGGGTCAAATGTCATTGGGTGCATTTCCCTAGCAACGGAGAACAGTAAGAACTGGCTGCTTTGCTATGGCTCGTTAGCAACCATATGGCGCGAAACCATGCATTATTGGATATGTTTCCATGATAACCGTTACCCCACCCGCTCATTACAGACCATTACAAATTAATTAGCTAATTAGGAAATTATGAGTGAATTAATTAATAATCACTGAATAATTTATTAAATATTTAATATTTTTAAATATATTTTTAGTATTTATTAATATTTATTATTTAATATTTAGTAGTTAAGATATTTAATATTTATTATTTAAAATATAAAATATTTAATAATGTTTAATATTTCATTATTAAGCCATTATTGAGTCGTGATAGACCGTCATAGGCACATTGAGATCCCGTTACAGATTGTTACAGACAACTTAGGACACCGTTACAAATCGTGAAAGACGGCATCTGCAGATCATTATAGACACCATATTACTAAGACTTGCTAAGAACGTATGAGCTATATCTTTACTGCAGCTCTACAGGATTCTGTAAAGGATGATGAAGAAATCACTCCACAAATCAATCGAATGAGGTCATTTTTTATGTGATCAGTGACAGTGATCAGATCGTGTTTCGCGCTTTAATTCCACCGGGATTGCACTAACAGCTTTTTGATAAAGGGGAAAGATTTTATTTTAGGTGTTAATGAGTAAAGCATTGGTATTTTCCATCTAGAAGAGTAATAATAAGACGACACTTAAATAATATGAAGTAATTGAATTCTAATTTTAGTTAAAACTCAACACTATATATGAAAATTAGTCAAGAGAAAGAATAATAAACGTGGTAGCTTACTGAGCAATAAAATAAATATGCATCGCAGGCTAATATAGTAGTTGAACCGATGAAACGAACAATAAAATTATAGCTGCTGCTTCGTGTGGCATGCATCGTGTAGATATTATCAATAAGAGAATAGAAGTTATGTACTGAAGATGTATATGATAATACAAATAATTTTTTTCAATATTACGATGTTAAATGACCCATATAATCTGATAGAAAAGTAATAAATATGAACAGTTTCAACAAAATAAACTTTCAGAGCGCGTGTATCAAGTATAAAAATTGTTATAATTCTGATTTATTCATCTACTTAGTACTTTTTTAATAACTTATTTTAAAACCTCTGACAATATATACTAAATTTATAACGCTCAGAGTTTGCGAGTTTCACATTTCGGCCCCTCTTGGGGCCGCACTGACAAGTTTTCCAATGAGCGAAGAGAAACCTGCTGGGAAGTGAATTTGGGCAATTTCATTTCTAGACGAATGCAAGTATTCGAAAGAATCATTGTTGACAACCGATAAAAGATCTGACATTGAACCAACTAAGATCGACGGTACACGACCAAATCATCATTTCATTTCAGAAATAAAAATTTCCTAATTGACTTTCCAGTCTCAATCAATTCTCTATTTGAGTTCATTGTCAACAGATTTCTAGTTGAAGAAAAGATTCGTCGGAATCAAATGATTTGAAGAAAAATGAGAAATTCATCTTGAATGAAACGAGAGATTGTTTGAATAAAAGGTATCCTGCTGTTCTTATCGCTCTTCATTTACCAACTTTCTACTTTATTTCCAACGTTATCATCAAGTGCTTCTATCTGAAGGCCTTCCTACATAAATAATGTATAATTAACATACACCATATGCTTCCTGTTTTATTGACTTTTGTACGCTTTCCTCTATGTGACTACTACACGTAAAATAAAAAAATTGTCATTCCAGCTGTCATACTCGCGCTATCCGTAGTTTTTTGCCGTACAAGCTAGAAATATCTTTGAGGCTTATAAAAAGATATGATGATTTTTACTTATTTATTTCAAGAATAACAGTATATTGTATAAAGCTAAAAAGGTAAGTTGTATTTTACAAGCGTTCCTTGCTATAAGATAAAGAGTTACTATTTGACTGGATAAAAACTTCATTTTGAATTTGTTGTAATTTCAGATAAATACAAATATCACCTTCTCATTGATCTTCGCTTCTTATTATACTTGTTTCAACTGCTTTTTCAAGAACTTAGTTCTTTTACTTAGTAAGTAAACTTGTCATGATAGATAGGATACACATTACATTTCATAGAAGACATTTATTAGGATCCACAATGTTGTTTGCTTTGATTGCAAGCATGGTAAAAAAATCAGTATGAAATCGATGCTTAGTCGGCCATTAAGATAGAAGATAGACGAGTCAATTTGTGCTGTAAAAGGGTAGTCAGAATTGTCATTCATTGATTTTACCGTACTTTTTTAAACGATGTCAAGAAAAAAATACTTAAACATATTTCAGAGTGTGATAATCTCTCGATCTCTCGATGTCTTTGAATTGCTGTATGTTTCAATTATTTCAAAAATTAGCTGTAATCAAAAGTCGCTAAACCGAATATATTCATAAAGAAATAATATTAGAAGCAAGACAATAACTAATGCTTTGATTCATTCTATTGCTTTTTTTAGAGTAAAGAAAAAGAGAAGGTTCGTTGTAAAAACGTGAGCTATTGTTAACATAGCACTCATAATCAAAACAAAGCTTCTCTATAAAAAGTCTGAAATTTTTGTTCTTAACTGAAAACCAAGAATGGGTGGTGAATTATCTGTGGCAAACGATCGTTTGAGTGATTTTGAAGTTTTACATGCAAACATCTTTACTCCTGGTCAAGGCATATGTTTACAACGTTTGAATCCAGGACGTAGCTCAGAATTTAAATTTGATTATAGTCTAGCATATGGATCTTGGTATGACATTCTAATTGTTGGTCACTCCACGTCTGCAAAAGCGGGTGGCGAAGTTCAACGATATCTGACAAAAGGTGTCTATCTCAGTTATAAAAAAAAAGTTAAAATCAGTGAACTAACAGCTGGGAAAAATCGTGATCTTGGCGCTGAGTGGAACTGTGGAGCGTGTCATAAAGACAATATCGGCAGTTTGAGAGTCTGCGAGTATTGTTTTACTAATAGATCACAGAAAATAATCATCGTATTATCGTATATACCCGTTCTTGGTCTTCCATTTTCATTAACAAATGCCGTCCTTCAATGTGGTAAAGCTGCACAATCAAACAGCATTGCAGATGAGGTTGATGCTGGTCTCAGTGTAGCAATGTGTATAATGGATGTTGTCACGGCACCGTTCATTGTTGGTTCTCTGGTGACAATACCTGCTAAGGTGACTGCTGAAACTGGTGTTAAATTAACAGCCAAAACCGTCTTCTGTGATGCAAGTAAACCGTTGTTGGTTGCAGTTGGAAAAGAATTCGGAAAAGGAGGAATTGTAGCTATGGTAAACGTTCGTAAAGCAGCAGTTCAAAAAATGATTAAGACATTAGAGTGATGAAAAAACAAAAACTGCACAAATAATTTTCATTGTCTGTATGAGCAGTTTTGTCAACAATACTTTATAAATTTTGATAAATAAAGATGCTTTGTACATAGAGGTATTAGCCAATCCTTTAATCAGTGGCAACGAAAAGTTCACAAGATATAGACGGTCGTGGCGGGCAACCCTGGGTGTGGGTGTGGGCGTGATTGGCGTGGATGTAAGTGTGGATGTGGATGTAAGTATGGCTCTCGTTTCTCCCACACTCACGTACTTTTTCCATTCCATTAGAGAAGATTGATGAAGTTGATCGCATGAGATCGTGTTTGATTAAGAAACGCGAATGTCACACAGCAATGAGAAAGATAGAGAAACACAAAGGTGAATATAAAAATTGGTTCCCAAACCCGATCGAAAGAAAAAGAAAACTGTTGTTGCAGTTGCTCGTCAAGCGACATCAAATGTGAAGAGAAAGGCAAAATTTGACAATATGTTCTTTTTTGATTGGCAAAAAATGAATTTAATCGATGAATCGATCACTACTGAACAGTATGCTCTGTGATTGCTGATGCCTTAATGTTAACAAGTTGTCTATTATCATCGAATTAGATTCCTTGTTCTTTGATGACACAGCTTAGTGAACGTTCAGTTTTTTTTGTTTCGAAGAATCGACCGAGAAAACTAATGTTACAGCGCCGAACCGGTTATGAGTGTGAGTGTGTGCGGATTTTGGTGCGGGTATGGATGGTGGGGTTGTCGGTGTGGTTCATTGTGAATGGACTAATCGCCCACAATCACACCACTTTCACACCGACAGCCATAGTCACATCTAGACCTACATATCCCACTCTTGCCCATACCCACACCCACACTTACCCTTTGATATCAGTCGCTAAGTATAAATGAACTTGGAAGGATTATTAACTAACTTATGTTAGAAAATGGTCATCTCGAATGATTTGTTTCTGTCTACTCAATGTAAAAGCCTCGATGTTCAAAAGAAGAAAGAAACATGCTTGTTGTATAAAGTAAAGTGATTTCGCTTACAGTAGTAATTTACTTTGCATGGGAAAGCTAGAATTTTAAAAATATTCATGTGATATCCAAACTTGATATTTGAGTAAATGTGAATACTTGAATAGAAGTACAAGGTCAAGTCATTGAAGTGCCATATTGATGAGCATTCATCCGTATTGTAGATGAGATAAGAAAAAATGTTAGTTTGCTACGAAACTTCTTCTCTCCCATAACACTAGAAGGTATACTACAACAGTTTTCCTATTAAGAAACCTTCAAACAATTTTACATGAAATCTATTGTATATCGAAATCTTTTGGGTTTGCTGCAGTATCCTTTTCAATGTACCTTGAAATATAAGTAACGTGCTCTGGATACACTCTGGGAATATAATATTTTAAATTTATTAGTCTGGTGGTGATAGTCTTGTTTTACGCAAATTTCTATTGTCAGAAAGGTATTCCTGTATATGAGCCTATGTCGCCGGATTCCAGTATCATGGAATCAAAAATAACCAAGCCGCCAATTCTGCTGTTGGTAGGTTTTGGCGGATTATCTTGAAAAACAAAATGTTCTTTTGTCTGGGAATCGATAATATTTGCAACAGGTTGTTTTCTTCCCACAAGCATCCTATTTATTACCAATGTATGAGATGCATGTTCCTTTATATTATCTATAGAAGAAAAACAAAAGATGCATAAGGTTGTTGCTTTGATTATTCTAGCTGTTTTCTGGGGTGCCACAGCTATACTCGTAGCATTAATTTTCAATCAAGCCATATTAGACGCTTTTCGTCGCCATCGAAACAAGAAAATAATGCTAATGATTTCTGTCGAGATTGTGTTGACACATTTGATACCTTAATCTATTTAATTCTTGATGGTATTATTGAAGTGGGTATTATAAATACATGTGATGATGTATGTGATTATGTTACTGCAAAGTCAGGATCACCTGTTTTATATGCTATTTGTGCAGTCGATTGTGATGCGCTGGGAATTAACGAATTTATTAAAATAGCTAAAGAAGTTGATCTTGATCCAATCTATTTTTGTGAATCATTAAAAATTTGCCCAAGTAAAACAAAACATTTTATTTTTATGAAATTAAAAATATTGTTTTTTTTTCTACTGTTTTAGTAAATGATAATGGTGATGCTAAATTTAAATCATTCTCCATTTTACCATCACATGCTCCAGTTTATAGTACATTTGTTATTGATTTTACGTATGAATCTGTTAATGGAACTGGCAGCGGTCAGTTACTAGTTAATATTCAAACTATTGATTACGTTGAAATCTTGTCTACTTTTTTGATTGAATCACTTAAACCAGGTAGATATGCTGAACGTATTACTGTTGATGCTAGTCCAGATCCTACATGTGATCCTAGTATTGGTAAGAAGTTATTGATTGTTTTATTTTTAAAAGATGATTTATATTCTTCATAATAGAGGAATGTGAACAATGGTATCCGGGAGTATATAATGTTACAATTATGATTTATAATGGAGAATGTGGCTCACATCATCCTCATAGTCAGGTTTATGATATGGTCAAAGGCTCGTTTCGAATTGATTAATAGCAATAAACAAGGAATGTACATCACTGCGACTTGCTTCAACATGGACTGAATTCCATTTAAGCATCATCTCTCCTCATTGACCAGACTCTTTTTTCAAATATCGTTAAATAAATACGTTCACACCAAAACATCTGTTGATAGTATCATCTGAGACGAGCATTTTTTTAAACAAGATCGCACCTCTCTGTTTAGATTTTGTAATATGATTCTTAAGACACAACTCACAGGTAGTTGTTGGCCTCTCTACGAATTAGCACTTCTAACTGCTAGATCACATCTATTCTTTGAGCATAGTTTAAAATGATACATCATTTTCATGTTCAGTACACTGCTAGTATTAAAAATAAAATTATGAAGATCATTTTCATATTCTTATATTGATCATTAAGTCTCTGTAGTAGATATCATAAGAAGTTTAATAAGTGAATACTAAAAAATGAGGTCGACATTTTAGATATTATGGTAAGAATGCACTTTACACCTATCCGGCTTTAATTCTCACTCTCTCTATTCAGTATAACTCATTTTTTGAAGTCCACGTGCGGTCATTGAAACATGATTTAATGAGGTCACTGTTTCTTAATTATTTGAAGCATTGTGGAATTGTTGTTTTTCGAATTCTCTGAAACAATAAATGACAAATTCTCATTCGACAGATATAACCTACGAAAATAAGTGTTCTCATAAGCTGCAAAGACTTAATTATATTTGGACTGTTAGAGTGGATGTAGGTGTAGGTTTGAGTGTGAATGTGGGTGTCGGTCTGAGGGTGTGCTGTCGATGTGCACTGCTAGGCCATCTATTTCCCACATCGACGCCGACACCCACCCACACCCACACCCTTCTTTGGAGTATGTGAACTGTATTTTTGGAGTTGTTATTGATTTTGGATTCAGAATTCTTCAGGAGTTCAGAATTCACGGAAGTCTGACAGGTCTTATGCTTAAATGGTGGATATCAGTGAAATACCTTAACTCGTTCGCACTTTTCAGCACAACGATCATTCACCCAAAAACTTGCATCTAAAAGACGGTGATCTGAAAACAACTTTTCTATGAATACTTTCCTACAAGGCATCTTCAAAGGCTGAATATGACATTTCTGTCAAAGAAGCTGTTAGCGCAATCCTTGTGGAATTAAAACTGTGGAGCACGGTACACTGGATAAATCAACATGACTCAAACATTGACTATTTTGCAAATGTCTTAGGATAGACAAGTCTTATAATTATAACGCTGGGTTTTTTTTGTACAAGTCTCTCTGTGAAATTCTCTAGCAGAATGGCAATGAAAAGGTCTAACTAAGTTCGTGTAATATTCTTTTTATAAAACTAAAACAGAAACACTGACAAATAGTTCAGTGTCCTATTTTTCTCAAAGAAACAAAAATGAAAATAAAATCACAAAAAAACGTCTTCTTTCTATTTCAAAAAAACTTTTTTCATGAATATTGATGATATATTTTATAAAAAGTTGAAGTAAAATAATGTAAGTCTTGAATATTCATGAAAAGTTTTGTTTGAGATAGAAAGAAGACGTTTTTTGTGATGTTATTTTCATTTTTGTTTCTTTGAGAAAAATAGGACACTACACTACTTCTCAGTGTTCCTCTTTTAGTTTTATAAAAAGAATATTACACGAACTTAGTTGAACCTTTTCATTGTCATTCTTCTAGAGAATTTCACAGAGAGACTTGTACAAAAAAAACTCAACGTTATAAGAGTTGTCTATCTTCAGATATTTGCAAAATAGTCAATGTTGCAATCATTTTGGTTCATCCAGTAAATTAAACTTCGAGAACATAATTCTCATGCAATGATTCGTAGGCGTGCACGAATATGTAGATGTGTGATGTGATCTATAAGAATAACTTATGTGGGTCTACCATTCGACATACAGACGTAGCGTATGTTGACATGCCGTCGGCTATCTTAGCTAGCATCTATCATGGTATCAAAGTGCAAACAGTGTTTTATTTTCTTGTTCTTATTTTTAAGCTTAAGCAAATCTTGAACGCTTTTTTAACGCAAACGTAAAATTGACTTCACAATAGGATTAATCTCGTCTTCCGTTGTGTCAACTAATTGTTCTCGTAAAAATTGTTGATATGTTCGTACTAACATTTGCAGTTGAATTACTTTTTGCATCAGTTGTGAATATTGACGTACTACGTGATAATAGGTTGAATGTTTTTCAACCATATAGCGAAATAATAGGCTCGTATAGATTGACTCTGCTTCATAGACTTGTTGTTAACCGTTCGAAAAAGATATACCGAGAGCCGATAATGCCAGAGTTGCAATCATTGTCAAATTTTATTGACATGCAAACTTTTGCATTCAAGTAAGGCAGGTATATTTCATTTGAAAGACATTTTTGATCAGACAACTTTTTCGGATACATCCCTTCCTATTCAGAAGGATCGATTCTTCATTTGTTACAATATCTTCAACTGAGACAATTTTGGCAAATGTCAATATAACCATCATCAGTTGAAAAATAATTGGATCGTCATCAGTAATATTCTTGATTGAACGAAACAGTTGAATTGATCGTAAACACAATTGTTCCCCATAGCAATACCATGACAGTTGTTTGCAAGCAATAGCATATTCTTCGCTTTCAACTTCTGAATCAATTACGAGATCTCTATTTATATCGTAATTCAGACATATACGCATGAAAAATACTAAAGGAGAATTGTATTTAAATAAGATAAAACGATCTTGTTCATTTAGTAATTCGAACTCCGGAATATTTCGGATGAATGTCATGAGTTGCATACCGATATTATAAATGACTGAGGTTGAACAGAGTAAAGCTGATCGTTGATCTATTATATGGTTGAACGCAGATATATCATGTTTGACTGCTGTGAGTCGAAAAGCTCTCTCATAGGACAGCTTAATTGAGTTGAGACAATTGTAGTCGTTGAAAGTGAGAAAAAGGTTTTGAGGAGGTGGTATAGTTTGTTGAATAGGAAGTAATCGAGTAGTTTGAAGCTGCTCTATAGTAAACTCCTTAAATGACAAATATAGAGGATATAAAGGGATGTAGAATTTAGTTGTTTCAACTTGATGCATCTTGTGTCATAACTTTCACTCTTTCCTCTTGACATAGATAGACTATCATTAGATTTTAAGAGATATAACATGCAAAAGACGATTGCACTTGTTCAGAGCGGCTCTTGAATTTACGCTTCTCGCCACTTTTTCACATGAAGCCATTCATCCTCTTTTAAGCGAAATTTTCTGTCTCAAAAACTATTGTTTAGCTGGAAATTATAAGCTTTGCCATACACAGAGACAAAAGGCAAGAAAAAGGCGAAGCTGAGATTTTCGAAGGACTATAACTTATAAAGGTACGGTTCAACAGAGCTAGGGTTTTTACGACTGAAAAGAGCACCTTCGAGCCTACTGCTGTACGTAACAAGAGAAATTCATATGTTCTTCCTATGAAGTCCGTGTAAATCTGAGAAATGACAAAAACGTCCACAGTCAAACTGCCAGTATCAAAGTTGATTATTTTGAATAGTGCTGACTGTTATTGATTGCAACTTACGCTAATTACTAGAGCACTGAGTCTAGTATTTGCATAGCTGGTGAAAAATGTATATGATGTAAATCGAGAAAAAGCTTGTCCAGCTGATCAGAATAGTAGAAAATGACGGTAAACTTTTTTAATACAATTTAATTGAGGGAGACATGCACCAATGCAGCTTCTAATGGTAATCACTGATATAACATTGATGCTTTATTAAAGTGCTCTTGGAAGCGAAAAAAGACGCGTTTTTTCACTTCATTTTGGAAGGGAAGTTGTTGTCAAGGCGCTATCTATCTAGATATGTGAATACAAGTCGAAATATTAAAGTGAGATCTCTACAAACTGGAATCAAATTTAGAGTAGACCGTTGGTCTGCACTTGATCGAGACTAATAATACTCGCACTGACGAATGTATTGATAAAAACCGAATAGGAAGCAAAAGTAAAGCAAAACATACGAAAACTGAATTGAACTGAAAAAGCTTGTCAGCACAGTTCTTTTGAGGCTAACATGTGGAACTCACATATCTTCGTAGGAAACGTGCTCAGTGATCATTAATACCTTCTCAAATTCTTGAGGAAAACTTATATATTGATTTTTATCTTCCCCTTTCGCTTCCTGCTTCCCTCTACGGTCTCTAAGCGAAATGCAACCACTGCTGTATAGTTCCATTCTAGGCTGCTAAAGAAGAATCGTATCAAATGATCTTTGATTCTGATGACCAAGGAGTCCATACGATGAAGTGAAAGCAAAGAGTAGTCGGCTAACCTGAACATAAAACTTATACTCACGATTTTCAAAAATTTATATAAGTTCAACAAAACAACAACTGATTGATGAATAAGTACGGAAATGACAAACAACGCGAAAAAAAGGTCTAGTGCGAAGGAAAGAGAGTGTACGTAACGGTGAAGTGTAATTTAATGTTGCTAACTAGACTTCTGCGTGACAACGATTTTTCAATCACGTCACGTCAGTCTCGAGCTGCCTGGTCACGGTCACGTTCATAGTCACAGAGTTTTTTTGAAACTGGTCACGATCATGTCACGGTCACGTCACAATCACGGAAATTTTGGACTACTAGCTGGATTTTTGGGTTACAAAATCAAGATTTATATTGATTTCGTAGATTTCCTTTGCAGTAAAACAAAGAAAACATGTAAATCAATTAAAATCTTGATTTTTTTTCACAAAAATTAGATTTTTAATATCAAAATTTTTCCTCATTAACTCACGATCACGAGATATTTCGTCACGGTCACGAGAGACCGTGACCATTTTGCAGAAGTCTATTGCTAACAAATAAAAAATAAACAACCATCTAAGAAGTTAGAGGTCTGTTACGTACAAAGGCATTTAAAGATTAAAAGAACGACATGTCATTTGGAGCTTTTCTAAGAGCATACATTATGGAAAAATAAGAAATGATCTGAAGAACGAAAATTGGCTAAAGA